AAGAAGATTAAAGAGAATAACTCACAACTTACAAATTCATTAAGCTTCAAAGTAGCAAAACCAAGATGGAAGAGTTTAGCTCCTCATTTGGAGACTAAACATGATAGAAAATATAAAGAAAACACTAATCTAACTGAGCTAAAGAGTATATGTGAATTGGTGATTTTATTGTGAAGGAAAGGGGTGTATTTATAGGCTTTTGGGAGCTGCAGGGTCTGATACCCGATCGGGTATAGAGGATACCCGATCGGGTATCTCAGGAAATTGCCCAGAAAGTCACTTTTCTGGGCATACCCGATCGGGTATGTCGGCATACCCGATCGGGTATGTCACAAATCTTCACGAAAATTTGCTCCCACGATCATTTGTTCCCGGATTTGATTTGGACAATCGAATCAAGTGAATACCCGATCGGGTATAGGCAATACCCGACCGGGTACATGAGTATTTTTTCCAAATCGAAATCTTTCTTGTCTCCTTGCACTTTCCTTGATCTTTTAAGGTCCAATCTTGATCCCTTCGATGATCTTTGACCTGTTTAGCTCAGAATAATCCTAATCTAAACAAATTACAAATAAAAATGAAAATAAAATATTACACCAAAAGTGTGTAATTTCCACAACTACAACTAATAAAAACTAGTTAAAAATACAAACATACAATCGAAAATTACACGAATATCAAAAATCCCTTGGCTCAAAGGGATTAAAAAAACCTCGACCTCCCTCGGAGGAATTTTAACAACTTCACTAAAAAGCCTTTGATGATTACAAGGGAAACTCTCCTAGTCTACCCTTGAGCCACCCCAACTCTATCCTCTCTAGGAAGAGTTATGCTTCTCTACCTTGCGGGTAGAGAGCCTCTCAGCTTTACAACAAAGCTCTCACACACAAACCAACCAGAGGAGGCTACTCTTAGCCAATCCTCAAAACCCCATTACAATATGAAGAAGGGAAAGAAGAAACTATATCTAGAACTCCGTATGAGCAGTTTCAGGCAGAATGTGCTTGATATATTCTTGAGTGTATCTCGGTGTATTTCTTGCTGCCAGCACCTACTACTTCTCTTTTGCCCCTTTGCTCTTTATAGGCAGTCTTGAAGAGAATCCGTTGGAGCCCCTTTGATTCTTGCCTTGATATAATTCAAAAAACCTTCCATCTTGATACACAAGTCAAACTAGCATGTATAGTTTTATAAGACAAGAAGTAATTGATGTTGTGGGTCAAGGCAATAATTTATTATCTCACCATATACACATATACGGATTATGCTAGTAAATATTCCTTAGCACATATAAATTTATTCGAATCATTTATTCAAAGGAAGCTTTCCTTTAATAATAATTCATGCAACGTTGCTTTTTTGAAAAGTCAATTGCCTTTGTTGCTAATTAAGGAGCCAGTTAAAAGAGAAGATTCAATTTACTTCAAATCAAGCTACGGTCACTTCCATTAAGATCAATTACAAAAGGTAATATTTTCTTGCAAGCCATATTCAAATAATGCCATGGAATCATGCAATTATTCTAAAGTAACTTTCCTTAAACAAATATTCATTTAATATCTCCACCAAGGATAACATTTTCAAACCAAAGCAAGTTACGTATATTTTGTAGCTATGAAAAGATTTATGCAATCTTTTGTAAGTCAAGCTACTTTAATGACTAAATATAAACCATGCACTCATAATATAGCAAGCAAGGATATTTTCCATAAAGTGATAGGCTATACTAATAAGTGGATGTCTAATCAAATATGGAAAGAGAATAAACACTCAAATATGCACCCATATGCAAATTACGTATATCTATTTTATGGTCATGCAAAAATGCACTCATATTACTTTCCATAAAGCATATCTAACAATACATTCCCCAAAATATCCAATCAATTATGGAAAGATATTAATGCATGTAAAATATCATACGTTGAAAGACATGCATATGCAGTTTACGGAACAGGAGCGGTTCTGTACGTCGTTCTACCTACATGGTTAGTCATCAACAAAACCACATACTCAACACCACTACAAAGCCTACAAAAAATAATTCAACTTTTTTAAAATTTTGATATAAAAAGTAAGAGTTTAAGAGTGATTTAAGTTGACCTTCGATAAATGAAATGGAACTTCTTTTAGGGACAGAGGGAGTACTATATAATTTCTTGTATTTACGTAGTACTATCTAGTGTAGTTATTTGTAATTATCTATCAAAAGGTATTTAAGATGTTTTCTTTTGGACTGTTTTCAGTCCCAGACCAGACTTCAACTGACCAGACCAGATCAGACCACACTTAAACAGACTAGACCAGAATTTCTTAGTTATAAAATACACAGAGACCAGACGTTTACCAGACCAGACCAGTTCAGACCAGACCAGACCAGACCAGATCAGCAAATTTCAGATCAAAAGAAAACATCCTTAGATAGGTTAGTCTGCCAGGATGTAAACAACAATTCACTCTTTCTTTCTTCTACTTCAAGAACCCTAGTAGATTAAATTCTCATCCGAACATCTTCTTCTCATTTCATTTTTCTGCTGAATTCAATTTCAATAGGTTTTCATAAAAAAATGTCAATCTAGATGGAACCAGAAACCTTAATATGGTACTCCGTATTAGCTTTGAGTCAATATAATTAGATCTTGGTAAATCTCAGCAATAAATTCACGAACTACGTACCAAATTGATGTGTTCTAACAAGTCATCATCGATCTTTTGAGATCAAGTTAAGTGTTAACTTGGCGTATAAAAACATAAACTAACATGTCTAAAGCTTTGGACGTACTAATGTCAAATTGACATTTTAGGGTTAAAATTGAACTCATATCTTAATATTAACAGGTTTCAAATTTCAATTATGAATAGCGAACAAATAATTTAAATAGGGTATGTAGTACTACCTCCGTCCCTTTTTATTTGGCCATATTTGACTTTTTCAATCAAATGAGATAAAATTTGATCCATTATTTTAACTAATATATTTATATGAAACTTAATAAATTTATACTTTTATGATACTCCGTAGTATTTTTAACAAAGAACGTTTTTTATATAATTTTTATATTATCAATATTATCATGTGTATAGATATATAATCAGTCAAAGTTGAACAACCTCAACTTTAAAAATATTGTTTGACTAAATAAAAAGGGACGGATCGGAGGGAGTACTACTTTTCTCTTATACTAGACTTTACCTTTAATTTGAGTAATTATAGAAGAAAAAGTGCCTTCTCACAAGAGGCCATTTGGCCCATTCGTGATTGAACCTAGCTACCTGCATGCATGTGAAATTGTGAACTTAGAAGTGTCGTTTTACTTTCACAAGAAGTGCCGTTTTTCACAAGCCGTGTACCGTGTATTGTTGTCGGGGGGTTGGTCTAACTTTTTCCAAAACATGCATACATAATAGTGATATGGGATATAAATTATTGATGGTATGATGGGAAGATAATAAAATAGTGTGGTGGAATGAAGGATAAAATCAAAAAAAAGTAGGTGGAATAGTATATTATTTTTAAAATTATTAAGGATATGAGGGAAGGTTTAGAAATGAGAAGATTATTTAGTTACGGATAAAAAAGGAAAGTGAGAAGATCTTTCCGTTACAGAGGTAGTACGTAGATTAATAGGACCGGGGAAGTGAAATGGTGCTAACTGATTCGGTGTTCGGGCCGGCCAAACCCGGTCAGCCTGTCCATTGGGCAGTTGTTTCTGACTTGCTGTACGAATATATGGTGGTCATGAGTGGTCACCCAAAACCAGAAGATTACAATTTCTGTATATTGTTGTTTGTTGGTGTTTTATCTTACAACTCAAATGCATGCATTTTTTTCGGACGGAAAAGAAGTTATATACGTAGTATATACATGCATGAACATGCAATGTGTGTTCATGAACATGATTCTTACCACGTGGCCTTAATTTTTGCCAATTCTTCAGCCTATAGGATCCTTTGAGTTAGTTGTCCGTTGCCCATTGCGCGAATGCCCAATTGCCCATATGGGTAGATCTACTCGCGTCTCCCGGAGGCAGTGCATCATACTAAGGTTGTCTGTGTAAAGATTTTTTTTTTTATTTTACACGAATTTTTACCTTAACAATTTCAACCAAATTGAAATTTGGAGTGCGTCTATGCCTAGATTGATCCTCTAGCTACGGGGTAAAACGTGAAAATTATTAAAACATCGACAACAAGATTGAATCTTGTCAGTGTCAGTCTCGGGGTTACCTCCAAGTGGACGAACTCCTTAACCAGGGCCGTCTAATGAATTTGGAGGCCCCGGTTCAAAATGTAAAAGTGGGGCCCCAAATTAATATAAAAAATTATAGAAATATCTCAATCGAAATATTTATACTCAAATCAATGGAATACTCATTAAAAGAGAACTAAAAGAATAAAAGGACCAACGAAAAATGATGTATCTATATTAATATTAATATAATTACTAATGAATTTTTAAAATATGAGGCCCTTTAAATATGGGGGCCCTGTTCTGGATAACCTCTTAAACCCCCTAAAAAACGCCCCTGTCCTTAACTTATACTTCCTCCGCCCCATTAATTTTGTCTTATTTTACCTTTTCGTAAAATTCTACTAAAATTGTCACATAGCAAATTTGACATATAGTTTGTGTGGTTCTGTTACTTTATTCTTAATTTCTCAATTAATATCAACCACATAAATTCATTTTTCTTAATAACCATGTCACCTCTTTCTGTCCCAATATTAGTGGGACGGATGTAGTACTACATATGCAACAAGTAATGGTTTAGACATTCGGCCTAGCTAAATCACCATGATTTAATGGGGGCATGTATATATGGAAGTGTGGGGTGGGCAATTCTACCTTTTAGTAGATGTGTCATGTGTGACCGTTAGTTAGCAAGCATGTGAAGACATGTTGTTTTTCATTTGCCTTTAATTAATACTAGTAATTAATAAGGTTAATTATGAGTTGTAATAACATTATATAAAGCTCATGCTTTCTTGAGATTGGTAGAGCACCACACTTTCTTAATCGAATTGAAACTTCTCTAGACTCTAGTTCTCTCTATTTTATTTCTTCTTTAATTTTTAGCTCAAAAATGGCCACTACATTGGTATCGGAGAGCCGGTGCATGAACGGCGGTGATGAATTTGACGGAGTTGACTTTTCCCAAATCGACGGCTGTGCCCTTCTTCTCATGTCATTGCTTGATGATACACCGGGCGTGGTGGAAGACTTCGACGATGAAAGATTGAAGGGTGTTATCCAATCTTTGGAAGCCGAAATAGTCAACGTGGACGGCAACGGTTTATTTGAGGGTGGTCAACGGAGAACCGTCTCTAAAGCATCTCAACCGTCCGATGCCGGTCAATTTGGTGGTCAAGATTTTTCGGAATTAAACGGTCTGGATTTCTCGTGGGTAGGTATGGTAGACATAGAAATGGAACCTTTGTTTCCCACACAAGTTGATGGCATCAACATCTCGGATTTGGAACAATATTGCGAATATGATCAGATGGACGGCGTGGATGAAGAAGAATATTGCGATAATGGATTTAAATTTGAGGAGATATGTTCTTATTATGATTATCTTTGGTAAAAAGAAAAAAAAATGCCTCTTACTTGAGGCCACGGTCGATGATCATTTTCCATAAATAGTGTTGAATTACGTACCTTGAACATTTCCACACAACATAAAAAGTGTACAAACTCAGCGACGATATTAAAAATGGGGTTAAATATCGAAGATATTGCTTGCGTTTTTTCAATAAATAATCTCTATGTATCGCATTTCTGTCATTTAAAATTTTAAGGAAATTCCGCTGAGTAGGATTAGGAAAAAAATGACAATGAATAGAAATACAATACCGAGATAATTCCAAATAGGAGTAGAAACGACAGTGCTTACATTTTTAAGAGACAAACGGTAGTTACATAGTAGTATAGTACTACGTATGTAGTATATGAGGACTTTTCATGTCCCGCCGGCCTGACGGGAACAGGCGTCCCGCCAAGGGCATTTCGGGCACTTCCCGGTGGAATTTTTTGATGAAATTTTTTGAGCATGTTCTTCATGAAGTCTAGTTTATCCATACCAAATTTCAGCTAAAAATTCAATTGGGAAGGCACTCAAATAATTTCTTGAAGCTAACTGGACAGTTTATATGTATGAACAACCTCTGTAACAAATATTGAATAATTGAATATTGAATGCTCAATTCGCCTCTTGAACTCTAAAAATCTCTATTTCACCCCCTGAATTCGACAAAAAAGTTCAAATCCCATTTTATGCATGTAAAAGTCCGATCACTACCACGTCACTCGGTTAGATGCCAACTGTGCATCCCACGTGACAGCTTAAGGAGTCAAATGGGCTCTTGAACCCGATTGAGTCATTCAATCCGCCCCTTCAACAGTTCAAAAGTGTAAAAATTGGAAGAGAAAAAAAAGAAATTAAAAAATAGAAAATACAAATATAAAATAAGTTACAAAGTATAAAATAAAGACATCTATTAAATCATATAATAAGGATAAATTATACTCGCGGTAAATTCATAAAAATAAACTAAAAGATGTTCATTAAAACAATTTTGATATTTTAGATTTATTTTTTAAAAAAAACAATACATGTTCTTACAAACTAAAATTAAATTTGTATTTTGTGTATTATATGTAATAAGTGGTATTATAGAACATATTTTAGGTTTTGTATTTTACAATTTATGTTATGTTTGTATTTTAGAGTTGTATTTTTCATTTGATATTTTTTAATATTTTTAATATGTTTTAGATTTATATGTAAAATTACACACACATGCATACATGTATATATACTTTGTATTATTTTATACTAGAATTATATACTATACCTCATACAAATTATATACAGTATAAAAAAATATACTATATAAAAAGTATAATATGAAAACAGTTACTCCGTATTACATTTTTATATTATGTATTTCAAAATAATTTATTTTCATTATATTTTTTTTATAAATTTAATTAAGCAAAAAAAAACAATTTTCTTATTATATTATAAATAGACGTCTATATTTTAAATTTTGAACTTGTATATTATTTTATATTTTTATTTTCAATTTTTTAATTTCTTATTTTTAATACTCCGTAGCAATTTTGAAACTTTTTAACGGTTGGGGGGGTAAATTGAACAGCCTTATCTGGTCCAGGGGCCTATTTGACCCCTTAAATTGTCATGTGGGATGCACGGTTGGCATCTGATAGGGTGATGTGGTCGTGACCGGACTTTTGCATGCAAAAAATGAGATTTGAACTTTTTTATTGAGTTCAGGGGGTGAATTAGAGCTTTTTAGAGTATATGGGGCAAATTGAGCATTTTGGACGGGTACAAGAGTCTATTTGACCCTTTAGCCAACTACATATCACACAAATATTATAATTAAGACCATCTTTTGTTACTCTTTTTTCATCTTATCACTCTTATTAGCTAAATTTTGATCAAACATGTGACTTTTGATTTCGCGCGCTGAATTGTGTAATAATCAAAATAAGTAATGTTATAATTACTTTTCTGGATGAATTGGCTTAAATTACTGTGAAGGATTATTTTAGCTATTTTTCATATAATTTTTCTTTATTTTATTGATAAAATATAGGGAAATGTAAGCGGCGATGGGATCTCCTAATCTTCTCCTCTCTAACCGGCAAGAGTTTAAAAAAAACGGCGATGTTTCTCCGGCACTGAATTAAGTCACGAATCAAAGAGTTCTCTATTCTTCCGATCTTAATGGAATCATATCTTCACAAACTCTCGTTTTGATGTTGCTTCTTGTTTAGTCAAGAATTAATTTCTACGGTTCAGGTGAGCCTGATATGTGTTCTCCACCAGTTCTCCTAGCAATGTCTAAAGTTTTGGGCTTCTATCAGTGTAATCGATCGAATGATGATTTTGTGTTGTTCATGATTGACATGGCTTGTTCAACCTAGTCTTTCTGAGGACTCAATTACTCGTCATCTTCTTGAACCATCACCTCACTCTAGGAGGAAGATAGTTATAGCCTAATATATATATATACACACTTAGGAATCTTCCTAATATATATTTAGGAAATTCTCTAACATTTATTTAGGAATACTTTATATTTTGGCAACTCTTCTATTATAAATATATTTGTCAGGATTCCTATTGGAGTACCTCTTTCCCATTATTTAATATGGTATCAGAGCCAATTCCGGTTGTGGTTTGACTGCTTATTTAGCACCCATGATTACGGGTAGTTTGTTAAGGGTCTGTTTGGCCCATTTATACACCCCGATATTGTCCAGCCTGATGCGACCTGAGGGGGCGTGTTGAAGTATTTGTCCCACACCGAAAAGCTATAAAATAATTAAAAAACTATATAAGGCTTTGGGCTACTCCTCCTATCAGGTTGACCTTTTAGGATGGAACCTCGGGTCTTAACATGGTATCAGAACATGCCATGGTTATCCGTAGTCTGGTTGATGTGAATTTTTCTTCTTATCAAAAGCTCTAGGTTTGTATATACAATTTTTCTTTTCTTTTTTTTTCGGTTGCCATGAACCCTAGTACAGCTGCCGCCGCCTTGGGGTCGACTGCCGCCACATCTACGGTAGTCTCCGATCCTCTGAGGATGAGCACGGCTGATATGGCGCAGATCACCTTCTCCTCGTCGCTGACCACGGTGCTTGCTTCCAATGTGCCGTTGAGTTCGCCGCCTGCTGCTTCTTACGTCTGCGCAGCCCACCTTCTTGCGTCTCTGACCACGGTGCTTGCTTCTAGCGCACTGGTGAGTTCGCCGGTTGTTGCTGCAGACATCTATTCTCTACTTGCTCATGGAGATTTTATTGTCAAATATGTGCCTCATAATCTTCCGCTTGCGGATATATTTACTAAGAGTTTTTCTAGTTTGCAATTTTATTTTTTAAAAGACAACCTGCACGTTGTATCTCCCCCACAGTTTGAGGGGTGTAATAGCCTAATATATATTTAGGAATCTGCCTAATATTTATTTAGGAATACTTTATATTTTGGCAAGTCTTCTATTATAAATATATCTGTCAGGACTCCTATTATAATATTTATTTATGAATACTTTATATTTTGGCAAGTCTTCTATTATAAATATATCTGTCAGGACACCTATTGGAGTACCATTTTCCCATTATTTCATAGATAGCACTCGAAGGGATCTTCATTTCAGTGGTTGGTCAACCCAGTGATTCAGACAATTTCTGATCAATAGATTTCATTTGTTGGTTGCTGGTCATATCAATTCTCCCATTCTCGTGGCTGGTGATGCCGGATTTTCATTTGTTGTTTTTTATTTTTCCTTTCAAATAGTAAGTGTAACAAAGCTGTTAGACTATAATATATTATTGAGTGGTTAGTGATTCGTAAGAATCAGAACCCATAACTTTGAAACACGATATTAGTATATATCAAAAAATCCGGATTGATGCAATTTATAATGTGGGATCATAACATCGTGCACGTAGTGTACCGATCCGCCTACACTGTATAAAATACTGTGCGCTTGTTTGCACTCTATATCTTTTTATTCTCCGTGGTGCGTCGTTTTCTTTTTTCTAAGCTTCTTTTTCTTTATTTTTATTTTCTTCAACTATTTTCTCCTTCTTCGTCAAAATACTAAAAATTTAATTGCAATTTTACTTTCTTTATCTTTAACCTTTTTTTACAGTAAAAAAAAGTTAAAGATAAAGAAAATAAAATTAAGTATAATGCATTTCGAATTCATACTTTATCAATTCATAACAATTTTTTTATTTATTTAACTAAAATAAGTACGAAGTATAATGCATTTCAGATTCAGACACTATTTTTTCTATAATATTTTTATATTCACACACTTTTTTGTAATATATTTTTTCATATTCATACAATTTTTCTATAGTATTTTTTATATCTCTTTTATATGTTTAGTTGTTTTTAAGGCATTGAGTTTATTTATTTCGATTTACATTTTCTAAAACATGAGAGTACATTTTCATATGAGTGAGTTACATTTATACATGATTCATGGAGTTGCATTTGATAATATATGAAGTTACACCTTCTTATGAGCGACTTACTCTTCATGTGTGTGAGTTACATCTTCATATGTGCGAGTTACATCTAATAGAGTAATTAATACTTTAATTAGGTTTCCTTATCTCTTATGTTTCCTAATGTACTCAGAACACCTTTTATTATATATATGACATCTAGGGCTACCATATGGGTAAGCCTCCCAATTATTCTCACATGGTATCGAGAGCTCTAGGTTTTTAGCCAATTACTAAATTTTTTTCCCCGGTTCGATGGCCTCTTCCAGTTCTGCCGCCATCACCATGACTATCCGCACCATCTCCGACACTATTCCGATGACTGCTCCTCCAAGTCCGAGCGCGGTGGATACCCCCCCGGTTATTCCGACCAGCAGCATGGCGCAATTGCTTACCAATGAGCAGCCTTTTTCGACGCTTCCTCAGTCGAATTTCTCGGCCTCATGGATACCTCCTATCTTTACGTGGACCCCAACGATTCCTACGCCTAATCCGCAGCAGCCATCCGATTTAGTCATGGCCGAATCCAGCATCACCGGCGCTCAACGTTTTGCTGGGACAACTCTTTCTGGGCATCCGGGACTACTTATGCCGCCTCCACCACCCGGTCTCGTAGGCAATCGTCCTCCTCCATCAACGCTGTCGACGTCGTTTTCCGCTCTTGCACAAGGTATGGGTTTTGGTGCTTCATCCATCACTACTAT